TGGCCACGCAGTCATGGGTGAACAGGGAGTACATGAGTGGGCTGAGCACGCACCCTTGTGGGGCCCCAGTGTTTAGGATCAGCGAAGTGGAGGTGTTGTTTCCTACCTTCACCACCTGGGGGCGGCCCGTCAGGAAGTCCAGGACCCAGTTGCACAGGGCGGGGTTCAGACCAAGGGCCTCAAGCTTAATGATGAGCTTGGAGGGTACTATGGTGTTGAATGCTGAGCTATAGTCAATGAACACCATTCTTACATAGGTATTCCTCTTGTCCAGATGGGATAGGGCAGAGTGATGGAGATTGGATCTATTGGGGCGGTAAGCAAATTGAAGTGGGTCTAGGGTGGCAGGTAAGGTAGAGGTGATATGACCCTTGACTAGTCTCTCAAAGCACTTCATGATGACAGAGGTGAGTGCTACGGGGCAATAGTCGTTTAGTTCAGTTACCTTTGCTTTCTTGGGTACAGGAACAATTGTGGCCATCTTGAAGCATGTGGGGACAGTAGACTGGGATAGGGAGAGATTGAATATGCCCGTAAACACACCAGCCAGCTGGTCTGCGCTAGCTCTGAGGACCAGGGATGCCGTCTGGGCTGGCAGCCTTGCGAGGGTTAACACGTTCAAAGGCCTGTTGTGAAATAAGGATCATTAGCCTATTGCTGTCATTTGTTGGGTAGGCCTACGGTAGGAACTCGCCTTTGTGGTAATTGCTGCAATATAGGCCTCTTCAAAACGTTTGTGAAGGTTTAAACCAGTTCTTTAAATATGCATCAAGTGTTTTGTTTCATTCTGTTGAGCCATTTTCTTTGGCCAAATTTAAGCTCCAACTTTAATGTTTGCCACAACATAATAGAATTACCGGTAGGCCTACTATTGGGCTACTCACAATCAAACCATGAAAAGGAAAAACCAAAGAGGAAACTTAATTTAATGCCGCAATATAATAACCTGTTCGTATTTTCCCTTAATACAACGAGTGGGTCTAATCCTGAATGCTGATTGGTTAAAACCGCATTCCCAACGGTGTCTATTCCACAAGTTGCCACCGGCTAAATATATGACTTTAAAATGCCTATATACTCTGTTCCATCTGACTGTGCAATCCACTGTCTCATCAGCCCAGCCAGGCAACTTATAAACTTGATCTCCACTATAAAAAGCATCTAGACATTATATCACATTTCTTTTAGACTACCATTTCGTTTTCAACAGTGGAGATTTGTATAAACCTTTCTGCCGGTCTCTCCGACATTTGCAACATTGTTTCAATATTCAAATTTGATCTCCTGCTGTCCCTTAGTAATGAACATGTCGGGACGAGACAGACAGGCATGCAGCGTTTCTCAACCAGTCGAAATCATGAATCAGCTGGCATCATTTTTATGGATATATACAAAAAAAGGTACATTGAAAAAAAGGTAAAACGAAACGCAGCTAATTTGCAGTCTTTCCAGCTTCAGTTTGAAGTGATCGTGTTACTGGCTAGCTCCTCTGAACAACAGTGTCCTGACGAGAGCACATTTTCTATGCCAGGCGAAATTGCGCCTCATCAGCTCATTTTTATGGATATACCCAAATAATTGTCACTAGAAAACAGCTTAAGCAAATTAAAATGCAAATGCAGCTACTGTTATTATTCTGGCTGCACTGTTTGACGTGACTGTAAGTTAGCCGTAGTTGGCTAGCTAGCAAGCAAGGGATAAGAACGTTGCCAGCCAGTATGGTAATGGTACATAGATACAGAACAAAAAGATTGAACGACTGGGTCATGTCTCTAGCAACCCTAGATTTGTGTCGGGACTATATCTTGTGGAAGGATGAAATAGTATGAAGAAATTAATCAAAATCATGTTTTTAATGAAAATATGAATATGTTGGTAACCTGTTGTATAAAAGTGATAATGCCCTCAAAGCCGGTGTTTGGAGGATGTATTGGCACGGTTTGCCAGCCCTCACACGTGCCAATATATCCTCCAAACACCGGCTTCTCAGTCATTATCACTTAAATAAACAATGACTTCCCTTACTTTTGATATTACCCAATACAGTTAAGAAACTTTTGTGAGGGTGTGGTATGGTATGGCTATTATTAGTCTTAGCTACAGCAGGCCTATGAAGGCAATGCACACCGGAGCTCCATCTGACTCCGACAGTTGAACTTGCAGTGAGGAAGAATGTTTTAGGCCTACCAGAGTTACTCCTTTAATCTAACAATATAATGCTTATCTTTATTTGAAAAATTCTGATCTCAAATGTACAAATTAGCCTCCTTCTGTACGCCTATATCTGTATAGCAGTAGTAGCCTACAAGGATAAAGATTGCATGTTGGTGTCGGGAACATGGCGCCGGCATATCTCGATCTTTCTCTTGATCTCTCTAGGGCTAGACCTAAGCTTCTCTTACTTTTATATATTTTTTTAAAATTAATATCATACAGTTGACGCCTAGGCCTATAGCCCGACAGTGCCTTCAGAAAGTATTCACACCCCTTGACTTTTTCCACATTTTGTTGTTACAGCCTGAATTTAAAATGGATTAAATTGAGATTTTGTGACACTGGCCTACACACAAGACCTGATATGTCAAAGTGGATTTTTTAAAATGCTAATCGGTATGTTTACAACTTAATTAAAAATGAAAAGCTGAAATGTCTTGAGTGAATAAGTATTCAACCCCTTTGGTATGGCAAGCCTAAATAAGTTCAGGAGTAAAAAATGTCTTAACAAGTCACATAATAAGTTGCATGGACTCACTCTGTGTGCAATAATAGTGTTTAACATGATTTTTGAATGACTACTCTCTGTACCCCACACATACAATTATCTGTAAGGTCCCTCAGTCGAGCAGTGAATTTCAAACGCAGGTTCAACCACAAAGACAAGGGAGGTTTTCCAATGCCTCACAAAGAAGTGCACCTATTGGTAGATCGGTAAAAATATAAAAGCAGACATTAGATATCTCTGAGTATGGTGAAGTTATTAATTACACTTTTGGATGGTGTATCAGTCACTACAAAGATACAGGTGTATTTCCTAACTCAGTGACCAGAGAGGAATGAAACCACTCAAGAGATTTCACCATGAGGCCAATGGTGACTTTAAAACCGTTAGAGTTGAATGGCTGTGAGAGGAGAGAACTGATGGATCAGCAACATTGTAGTTAAGCCACAATACTAACCTAAATGACTGAGTGAAAAGAAGGAAGCATGTACTGAATAAAAATATTCCAGAACATGCATCTTGTTTGCAATAACTCACTAAAGTAAAACTGCAAAACATTTGACAAAGAAATTAACTTTATTAACTGAATGTTATGTTTGGGGCAAATCCAACATAACACATCACTGAGTACCACTCTTCATATTTTCAAGCATGGTGGTGGCTGCATCATGTTATGGTTATGCTTGTCATCGGCAAGGACAAGGGAGTTTTTTAGGATAAAAGAAGCATAGTAGAGCTAAGCACAGGCAAAATCTTAGAGGAAAACCTTGTTCAGTCTGCTTTCCAACAGACACTGGGAGACAAATTCACCTTTCAGCAGGACAATAACCTAAAGCGCAAGGCCAGATATACACTAGAGTTGCTTACCAAGAAGACAGTGAATGTTCCTGAGTGGCCTAGTTAGAGTTTTGACATAAATCAGCTTGAAACTCTATGGCAAGTCTTGAAAATGGCTGTCTAGCAATGATCAACAACCAACTTGACAGAGCTTGAATAATTTTATAAAGAATAATGTGCAAATATTGTACAATCCAGGTGTGAAAAGCTCTTAGAGACTTACCCAGAAAACTCACAGCTGTAATAGGGGATTCTAACATGTATTGACTCGGGGGTGTGAATACTTATGTAAATCAGATATTTCTGTATTTCATTTTCAATAAATTTGCAAAAATGTCTATACATGTTTTCACTTTGTCATTATGGGGTGTTGTGTGGAAAAAAAAAATATATTTAATCAATTTTGAGTTCAGGCTGTAACACAACAAAATTAGGAATACGTCAAGGGGTATAAATACTTTCTGAAGGCACTGTATATGCATGCAATGCCCAGATGCATTTAGCGCTCAAATCTCCGACAGCTGAACCGTGAGGTGGCCAATTGTTGTTTTAGCTCACCACTGCCAGCACTCTGTCTGCATCGCTAGTGGCTAACGTTAGCAACTCAAGCTAGCTAACGCAGAGTAGATTCTCCATATGACGTTAAGAAATAGTGCATGTTGGGTAGTTTAGAAGATATCCGGAAAATAAGTTAATAAATATTTAAAAAACCTAAAACATAACTGTTTGTAGTTATAGGTAACCAGATTGTGACTACAATTAAGTTACTAAGTCTTTGACCACACTGTGTTGTTACTTTGGTGGGTAAAAACTCATGCTTCCTAACCTTTAAGTCAATATAAAACCCATCACCCAACATTTGAATTGCTAAACCACCCATTGCAATGGAATGGCACCAATAAAGATTTGAAGGAAATCCGTGCCTTTAAATGCCCCAAACTGCTAATTTGTGTCGTGACTCACTCACAGCACATGCGATTTATACAGACACTCCAGTTTGAGTGGATGGTGTCTCCTGGGATGAGGCATTTTCAATGACAGTCAACAGTATCTCATACCTCAGTCATTACCATCATCACTCCCAAATTAGTAGATCAATCAAATGAAAGTGCACATTACTTTGTGGATAGGATTTAGATGGTAAAAGCACTTTGTGACTGCTGATGTGAAAATACATTTGATTGATTGAGGGTTCCTATGATACCCATTCATAGAGATAAGGAATTATGCCCACACACACACGCCTCATCTTGTCAGACTGTCAAAGTTCTTGGTCTTCAGTCTGTGTTCATGGAGATAAAGAATTATGTACATGTACAATACACAAAAAATGTGTCCTGTACTGCAACGCATTTGCAACCAAACAGGTCATCCTAAGAAATTCCTATTTTTCAACGGACCTGAAATTCACACTCTCCTACATAAATTCCTTTCTTCTCCAGGACTGCGTCACTTTGGCAAGGCTGAGGCATCGGTGGAGGAGGTGCTTGCCTACCTGGAGGAGGCCTACTGTGGCCGCATTTCCATAGAGACCAGTCAGTTGACCAGACTGGAGGAAAGGGAGTGGCTCGCCGACCGCTTCGAGGAGTTGAAGAAGGAGACATTTACGGCGGAGGAGAGGAAGAAGCTGGCCAAACTCATGCTGGAGTCACAGGTAGATTGGTCAAAGGTTGACATCGTCACACAGTATTACAGCCTAATGACCTTTTATAGCCTAATTAATGAACATTTTATCTTATCTAACAGAGTAATTGGCATCTAGTTTAAAATTTCCCTGTGGGAATAAAGTCATTATCTTATCAGCGAGAATGAGATGGTATTGTTTTGATCAATGTTAATTAAAATGTTTTCCTATTTCCGTGACTTATTTATGTATTTTGCCCTTATTTCATTAGTCATTGAGAACATGTTCTCTTTTTACAATAACAACCTGAAATGACCTATTTCATCTTGTGCTACCTCAGGAGTTCGATCACTTCCTGGCCACCAAGTTTTCCACGGTGAAGCGTTACGGTGGTGAGGGAGCAGAGAGCATGATGGGAGTGTTCTATGAGATCTTCCGCCTGTCGGCCCACAGTGGGGTGACGGATATCGTCATGGGGATGCCTCACCGCGGGCGACTCAACCTCCTCACGGGGCTGCTGCAGTTCCCACCAGAGGTCAGGGTTCAGGCACTATCACTTCCAGGTCAAATTCATGGCTGTAATTGTTACCTGAATTAACCACACTTACTTACCAATTAACTCCATGTAATTGTCCGCTGCAATGCGCTATGCAGTGTGAAAACAAGATAAGAGAGAATCCAGTGTTACCTTATCAGAAAGTGACCGTAAAAAGTTTCTGTGGATGATGACCTTGAATGTTTTTTTTGTCAGAGAACAGAATTTCTTTCACCTTTTTTAATGTTATTGTTTTTCATACATAGGTAAACAGGTTTTGAGAGAGGTAAAAGTGAAATGTTGAACCCCAGTCTAACATTTATATATTTGGTGCCTCTCTCACTCCACCTCCAGCTGATGTTCCGTAAGATGCGTGGCCTCAGTGAGTTCCCAGCGGACTCTCCCTCCATCGGTGACGTCCTCTCCCACCTCACCTCCTCTGTAGAGCTGGACTTCGGTACTGCCCACCCCCTCAAAGTGACCATGCTGCCCAACCCCTCCCACCTGGAGGCCATCAACCCAGTCACCCAGGGGAAGACCAGGGCCCGGCAGCAGCTCAAACAGGAGGGAGACTACTCACCAGATGAGAACGCACAACCTGGGGATAAAGTCGTATGTCTCCAGGTATAGTACTCAGGCCTAGGTAGACGCATATAGACATTTATTGACATACATAGACATACAGTGAGGGAAAAAAGTATTTGATCCCCTGCTGATTTTGTACGTTTGCCCACTGACAAAGAAATGATCAGTCTATAATTTTAATGGTAGGTTTATTTGAACAGTGAGAGACAGAATAACAACAAAATAATCCATAAAAACGCATGTCAAAAATGTTATAAATTGATTAGAATTTTAATGAGGGAAATACGTATTTGACCCCCTCTCAATCAGAAAGATTTCTGGCTCCCAGGTGTCTTTTATACAGGTAACGAGCTGAGATTAGGAGCACACTCTTAAAGGGAGTGCTCCTAATCTCAGCTTGTTACCTGTATAAAAGACACCTGTCCACAGAAGCAATCAATCAATCAGATTCCAAACTCTCCACCATGGCCAAGACCAAAGAGCTCTCCAAGGATGTCAGGGACCAGATTGTAGACCTACACAAGGCTGGAATGGGCTACAAGACCATCGCCAAGCAGCTTGGTGAGAAGGTGACAACAGTTGGTGCGGTTATTCGCAAATGGAAGAAACACAAAATAACTGTCAATCTTCCTCGGCCTGGGGCTCCATGCAAGATCTCACCTCGTGGAGTTGCAATGATCATGAGAACGGTGAGGAATCCGCCCAGAACTACATGGGAGGATCTTGTCAATGATCTCAAGGCAGCTGGGACCATAGTCACCAAGAAAACAATTGGTAACACACTACGGTGTGAAGGACTGAAATCCTGCAGTGCCCGCAAGGTCCCCCTGCTTAAGAAAGCACATATACATGCCCGTCTGAAGTTTGCCAATGAACATCTGAATGATTCAGAGGAGAACTGGGTGAAAGTGTTGTGGTCAGATGAGACCAAAATCGAGCTCTTTGGCATCAACTCAACTCGCCGTATTTGGAGGAGGAGGAATGCTGCCTATGACCCCAAGAACACCATCCCCACCGTCAAACATGGAGGTGGAAACATTATGCTTTGGGGTGTTTTTCTGCTAAGGGGACAGGACAACTTCACCGCATCAAAGGGACGATGGACGGGGCCATGTACCATCAAATCTTGGGTGAGAACCTCCTTCCCTCAGCCAGGGCATTGAAAATGGGTTGTGGATGGGTATTGCAGCATGACAATGACCCAAAACACATGGCCAAGGCAACAAAGGAGTGGCTCAAGAAGAAGCACATTAAGGTCCTGGAGTGGCCTAGCCAGTCTCCAGACCTTAATCCCATAGAAAATCTGTGGAGGGAGCTGAAGGTTCGAGTTACCAAACGTCTGCCTCGAAACCTTAATGACTTGGAGAAGATCTGCAAAGAGGAGTGGGACAAAATCCCTCCTGAGATGTGTGCAAACCTGGTGGCCAACTACAAGAAACGTCTGACCTCTGTGATTGCCAACAAGGGTTTTGCCACCAAGTACTAAGTCATGTTTTGCAGAGGGGTCAAATACTTTTTTCCCTCACTGTACATTTAAACTGTTTTTCACAATTCCTGACATTTAATCCTAGTAAAAATTCCCTGTCTTAGGTCAGTTAGGATCACCACTTTATTTTAAGAATGTGAAATGTCAGAATAATTGTAGAGAGAATTATTTATTTCAGCTTTTATTTATTTCCTCACATTCCCACTGGGTCAGAAGTTTACATACACTCAATTAGTATTTGGTAGCATTGCCTTTAAATTGTTTAACTTGGGTCAAACATTTCAGGTAGCCTTCCACAAGCTTCCCACAATAAGTTGGGTGAATTTTGGCCCATTCCTCCTGACAGAGCTGGTGTAACTGAGTCAGGTTTATAGGCCTCCTTGCTCCCACATGCTTTTTCAGTTCTGCCCACAAATGTTCTAAAGGATTGAGGTCAGGGCTTTGTGATGGCCACTCCAATACATTTACTTTGTTGTCCTTAAGCCATTTTGCCACAACTTTGGAAGTATGCTTGGGGTCATTGTCCATTTGGAAGTCCCATTTGCGACCAAGCTTTATCTTCCTGACTGATGTATTGAGATGTTGCTTCAATATATCCACATAATTTTCCTTCCTCATGATGCCATCTATTTTGTGAAGTTCACCAGTCCCTCCTGCAGCAAAGCACCCCCATAGTATGATGCTGCCACCCCTGTGCTTCACGGTTGGGATGGTGTTCTTCGGCTTGCAAGCCCCCCTTTTTCCTCCAAACATAACGATGGTCATTATGGCCAAACAGTTCTATTTTTGTTTCATCAGACCAGAGGACATTTCTCCAAAAAGTATGATCTTTGTCCCCATGTGCAGTTGTAAACCGTAGTCTGGCTTTTTTTATGGTGGTTTTGGAGCAGTGGCTTCTTCCTTGCTGAGCGGCCTTTCAAGTTATGTCGATATAGGACTTGTTTTCCTGTGGATATAGATACTTTTGTACCTGTTTCCTCCAGCATCTTCACAAGGTCCTTTGCTGTTGTTCTGGGATTGATTTGCACTTTTCGCACCAAAGTACGTTCATCTCTAGGAGACAGAACGCGTCTCCTTCCTGAGCGGTATAACGGCTGCGTGGTCCCATGGTGTTTATACTTGCGTATTATTGTTTTTACAGATGAACGTGGTACCTTCAGGCGTTTGATAATTGCTCCCAAGGATGAACCAGACTTGTGGAGGTCTACATTTTTCTTTCTGAGGTCTTGGCTGATTTCTTTTGATTTTCCCATGATGTCAAGCAAAGAGGCACTGAGTTTGAAGGTAGGCCTTGAAATACATCCACAGGTACACCTCCAATTGACCAAATGATGTCAATTATCCTCTCAGAAGCTTCTAAAGCCATGACATCATTTTCTGGAATTTTCCAAGCTGTTTAAAAGCACAGTCAACTTAGTGTATGTAAACTTCTGACCCACTGGAATTGTGATAAAGTGAATTATAAGTGAAATAATCTGTCTGTTAACAATTGTTGGAAAAATTCCTTGTGTCATGCACAAAGTAGATTTCCTAACCGACTTGCCAAAACTATAGTTTGTTAACAAGACATTTGTGGAGTGGTTGAAAAACTAGTTTTAATGACTCCAACCTAAGTGTTTGTAAACTTCCGACTTCAACTGTACTTCATTACTTAATCTTGTGAATTTGTCTTGCACAATACTATAATTACAATACGTCATAGAGAGGGATAGTAAAGGGAGTATTACACTGAAGTACAGTTTATTGGGACATACAGGCATTATCCATTGTTGATGTCAAGATATTTTCCAAATTTCAAGCCTGAAATGAACTGGTGATCATTGTGGAAACTCTCCTTACTTTTCTCAGGTCCATGGGGATGCTTCATTCTCGGGTCAAGGGATTGTTCCAGAGACATTCACCATTTCACTACTCCCCCACTTCAGAGTCGGTGGGAGCATCCACCTCATTGTAAACAACCAAGTGGGTTATACCACTCCATCTGCGAGAGGGAGATCGTCTTTATACTGCAGTGATGTTGGTATGTGAAATGTATCGCTTTATCTATAATAGATCTTTATGGGATTTATTATATACAGAATTATAATATGTACCAATGGGAATTATAATCACAAATACATTTTTATGGGAATTTTAATACTTCTCTATCGCACTCTGTGTGTGTTCTCCACTCTCCAGGTAAGATGGTGGGCTGTGCGGTGATACATGTGAACGGTGATGATACGGAGGAGGTGGTGCGTGCAACGCGTTTGGCGGTAGAGTACCAGAGACGCTTCAGGAAGGACGTCATCCTGGACCTGCTCTGCTACAGACAGTGGGGACACAATGAGCTGGACGAACCTGGATTCACTAACCCTGCCATGTACAGGATTATCCGGTGAGTTCACTTCACTATATTTGCTATACTCTTCCCTCTCTGGCTGCTCTTGAGCCAAAAGGGGTCCACTAAATGGAAATAAATATTGTCCAGAAACGACCTCATTGTATTGAAAGGGGAACACATTCCCACAACCATGAACAAAAGCATATATTGTTTACCTACAATTTTATATTTGATTTAGATTATTTACCCTCGTATTATTTTTATTTTATTTAACCTTTATTTAACTAGGCAAGTCAGTTAAGAACAAATTCCTATTTACAATGATGGCCTACACCGGCCAAACCCGGACGACGCTGGTCCAATTTTGCGCCGCCCTATGGGACTCCCAATCACGGCCGGTTGTGATACAGCCTGGAATCGAACCAGGGGGTCTGTAGTGACGCCTCAAGCACTGAGGCCACTCGGGAGCCCTTGATTACAGAACAATGCCCAAATAACAAATATCTAACCATGACATCCTACCCTCTTCTCATCCCCCCAGCTCCAGGAAGAGCATCCCAGACTCCTATGCTGACCAGCTGATCTCAGAGGGCCTGATGACCGAGGAGGAACGTGGTGCCATCAGGACAGCCCACTACGGCATGCTGAACGACAAGCTGGCCAACATGACCCTATACAGCCCTGCACCCACCAACCTGCAGGTCTGTGATGTGCAATCATTTCAAATACTTTAGCTGTGCTTGATTTTAGTTTACCTGGCACAATGGAACCAATAGAATAGTTGCAAAAGTGCAAACCCCACCCATCTGGCACTACAGGCAGACTAAAGCGAACACTCAAAACGTTTGTACCCAGGTCTGGTGATGAGTGCTTTTTGGAGTGTTGAGAAACTAACAGAACACAGATTTCCATGATTGTCTGTAACAAATGGACTTATAAAGTTGTGTTGTTGTTCCAGGGGCGCTGGGGAGGTCTGGTGGAGCCCCAGGCCAGAGTCACCCACTGGGACACGGGGGTGCCAGCCCCCCTGCTGCAGTATGTAGGGGCCAAATCTGTGGAGATACCCGACGAGGTCCAGCTACACAGCCACCTGGGGAAGATGCATGTGGCGGTAATAACAATTGCAGGATATATATATATTGTAGCCATTACGCTAACAGATCTGAACCTCTTTACAAGTTTGCTAGGTGTTGAGTTAAAGGTATAGTTCGGGAGATCAGAGACAATGGTATCCACGAGTTCATTTGACTCTGGGAAAATAGATAAAGGGCTTCATTGCCAAAATCCCGAGTATCCCTTTAAGGTCGCTACAGTATTGCGCTTTTCTAAAGCCCAAAGGTACTTGGGTGACGGCATGCTTCACTAGGGTCAGTAGTGCAGTCTTGTTAGAGCTGGATGAATGTGTTTTTCCCCCGATGTTTTAAAGACTCTCTGAAGCTCAATGAAAACAGATCTGTTGTGTTCTTCTCTCAGGGTCGCCGTGCGAAGGTGGAGAATGGAACTAATCTGGACTGGTCCACTGCTGAGGCCATGGCGTTTGGCTCTCTGCTCTGCCAAGGTCAGTCTGCCTCTCAACAGCTTTTTACACTACTGAGCCAAACCAAGCTGTACTGAGCTGGCCTGGTAACACATCCTTTATAGTTGCTGGAATATCATAGGCAGCACAATTTGATTTGGGTTGGCATGGTAATGTGAAAAGGGATTGATCTTAAAGATAAAATAGTTTTACAGAAATTGCTTGTTAGATAGATAGATAGATAGATTTGTGTTTTCCAGGCCTGTTATTACCATACTATGTCAATACTTACAAAAATATATATATTTTGAGTCATTTATATATGTAATTCTCATGTCTCTGGCTGTAAGAATGCATTTTGTGTTTAATTTGTTTTGCAGGCTTCAACATTCGTATCAGTGGACAGGATGTTGGGAGGGGCACCTTCAGTCAGAGACATGCCATGATAGTTTGTCAAGACACAGATGACATGTACATCCCCCTCAATCACATAGACCCTGAACAGAAAGGATTCATGGAGGTAAATAATGAGTTATTGCAACGAGAGAAAAAAACAACCAATGAGACTCGAGACTTGGACCTCATGACTTGTTTACTTGTTTTACTTCTAAGTTGTATAAGACTGTCTTGGACATCCACCTGTAATACGGTGTGCACTCGTGTGTGTGTGTGTGTGTGTGTGTGTTTTCTAGGTGTGCAACAGCGCCCTGTCTGAGGAGGCCGTGCTGGGCTTTGAGTATGGCATGGCCATCGCCCAGCCTAAACTACTGCCTATCTGGGAGGCTCAGTTTGGAGACTTCTTCAACGGAGCTCAGATCATATTCGACACCTTCCTCTCCGGAGGTAATGAATGCTGATACTCTGGTCAATAACTCTCTGAAGGGCTATTTTTAGGTCTCCTCCTTTGAGTTTGCAGATAGTTGTATATCATAATCCAGTTTAATTCTAGCCCCTGGCTAACACCTATCAAGTCCTTTCAGTTCTGTGAACACAGATTGACAAGAGTTAGGGGAAGGGGATAAATGGAATGGAGCCAACACTTTGTTTAGTATACAGTTGAGATAAAACTGGATATTTGATCAACATGATCAGTAAATCATGGGGCCCAGTAGAACACAAACTACACTTTTAATATAAAAGCTTTTATAGAGCAGTCATAAAGCATTCATAAACGTTAGACGCTACATTCTGGTTCCATTAGGTGTTGATTGAAACGTCTCTCTCTCTCCCAGGCGAGGCTAAGTGGCTGCTGCAGTGCGGGCTGGTGATCCTGCTTCCCCATGGTTACGACGGAGCAGGACCTGAACACTCCTCCTGCCGCATGGAGAGGTTCCTACAGGTGAAGAGGGGAACACAAAACACGGGGAACCTCCGATCTTCTCCTCTGCATTTTGTGGCGGAGAGAAATCGAGGAGAACAGACTTTTGAGAAGGAGCCCAGGGCTACTCTTTGGAAACCAATATCAGATACAATTATCTCTGTTATAGCTACTGTATACAACTCTCTCACTGTCTCTTGTAATATTTATTGGATCGCTGTGTATGATGCTAATTGAAACATATGGATTTGACTGTTCCTGTCTTCTCTGTCTAAATCTCCTCTTCTTTCTCTTGCTCCCAGCTGTGCGACAGTAAGGAGGAGGGGGTGGATGGTGACAATGTCAACATGGGCGTGGTCAACCCTACGACCCCAGCACAGTACTTCCACCTGCTGAGACGACAGATGATACGCAACTTCCGCAAGCCACTGATCGTGGCTGGGCCCAAAACTCTGCTCCGATTCTCTGTAAGCTACTCAATAACACATCCAATACAAGCCATTCATGAGTTAAATGGGCCTGTTTGAAAACCTTTAAAATGCATCCTTCCTTCCCCCTTTCAGGTGAGTGAGTGGTTAGGTGAAGGCATGGTTTTCACTGCATTGCTTCCACCAATCTTACCATGTCATATCAGTGATTTCCTCAAGGAAATAAAAAAGTAAGGGTTCATTTTAAGGTACTCAAACACGGCTACTGTGAACATGTTTACGGTGATATTTGGTGACTGAGTTGATGAGTTCCTGTCGCTACCTGTAGGGGGCAACATCCAGTCTGGCTGACATGGCTCCTGGAACCTCTTTCAAACCTGTGATTGGTGACACCGCAGTCACACCAGCCAGGTAAAGAAGTATCCACAACATTACACCCTCTTTTCTGCTTCCTGTTGATACATTTTTACATTTTACATTTTCGTCATTTAGCAGACGCTCTTATCCAGAGCGACTTACAAATTGATATGTTATATCTAATTTAAAACTGTTGTCAATTGTATAATGGTGTCACTTTATTGGACTTTATTTATGAGATCAAATAGTACAGTGTAGCTACATCTGTATCTGCTGCACCTTCCAGGGTTGGCTGAATTCAAATGGAATCGACCCCAACCCAGTACAGTATGTGCCCAACTGCTTTAATAACTGTCCTTTCCTGCTATCCCTGTAGTGTCCAGCAGGTGGTGCTGTGTTCAGGGAAGCACTACTATGCCCTGTTGAAGCAGAGGGAGGCATCAGCAGCCACTCAGAACACAGCACTGATCAGACTGGAGGAGCTGTGTCCCTTCCCTCTGGAAGCCCTGCAGCAGGAGCTCACCAAGTACACCAACGCCAAAGGTAGGCTATACCTGACCTGGCCACTACTTACCTCAAACACGATCTAATATCTAAAATGCCACTTAAGAATCGCTTTTATCCAAGTACACCAACACCAAAGGTATGTAAGTGACCCCTGGCCTGGCCTGACCTGCACTGGTCTTCACTTCTTACCACAGACACTATAGGCCGGTTTCCCGGACACAGATTAAGCCTGGTCTAAAAAGCTATTTCAATGGAGATTCTCCATTGAGCATGCTTTTTATTCCAGGATTAGGTTTAGTCTGTATCTGAGAAACTGTCCCTTACTGTTCAACCACCAGACTGTGCTGCAGCATCGGATCAATAAATAATTTTGTGCACTGTATTTGGTAGGGATGGGCATTTTAAATTATTTTACTATTCAAATAATATCACACATTTTTTTCTGATATCCGGATAGTCAAAAAAACGAACACTTATTGACTCTCGACCAATCAGAATGACGCAAATGCACATGGCAGAGGTAAACAGCGGACATGCTGATTTTCTCTGGTAGTCTAGCTAAAAGCAACAGCGAAAGAGAAGTCTGATTTTCACCATGATAAAACTGATTCTGTTACAAAAAAAGGTTTTCTGGTGAGTGTTTTGCATTGATCTGTGTCAGGTCTTGTGGAAACTCCATTAGGTGAGTGCCTATAATTGCTATTTGAAGTGGGGAAAATAGCGTACCGACGTCAGGCCAGCCTGAAGGGATAGATGTGCAGCAGTAGGGCAACAGTAGCTCTGTGCACCGTTATAAAAACTACATTCAAAACTTTGTTTTATTAAATTAAGAATTTCAAATGTCATGGTATATCCTTGTAGGTAAAAATGTCAACAGGATAATTTAATTTGGACAAAGCTTTTATTGTTAAAATAGGTCTACAATAGTATTTTCTCCAAAAATGAACACTTACTCACGTTATCAAATACGTCTGTTCGGATATCCAGATATTTGATTAACCGTGCCCATCCCTAGTGTTTTGCCATCTTCAAGATAATTTTTTTATGTAATCTTCATGTGTTTGTGTGTCCCATACAGAGTTCGTCTGGAGCCAGGAGGAGCCCCAGAACATGGGCCCCTGGTCCTTCGTGGCCCGTAGGTTTGAGAAGCAGCTGGCCTGCAAGGTGAGTCCTGCCCTGTCTGAATGATCAGAGAAATACATTTGACGTGTTTAAGGGGATCAATTTGAGCAAGCAATGCGAGGCTCAGAATTGCTAGATAATTAGTATTTATTTGGGATGCAAGGTGATTTGTAGATCAGTGATTCTGCACAGTCCGACTGCAATGTAGTGGATCTCAAACATGCACAATAAACTGAGTGTACAAAACATGCTCTTTCCATGATATAGACTGACCAGGTGAAAGTTATGATCGCTTACTGTTAAATCCACGTCAATCGTGTAGATGAAGGGGAAGAAGAAGGATTTTTAAGCCTTGACACAATTGAGACATGAATTGTGTATGTGTGCCATTCAGAGGGTGAATGGGCAAGACAAAATATTTAAGTGCCTTTGAACGGGGTATGGTAGTAGGTGACAGTCTCCCGTGTGTATCAAGAATGGTCCACCACCCAAAGGACATCCAGCCAACTTGACACAACTGTGGGAAGCATTGGAGTCAACATGGGCCAGCATCCCTGTGGAAAGCTTTCGACAGCTTGTAGAGTCCATGCACCGACGAATTGAGGCTGTTCTGAGGGCAAAAGGGCGTGCAACTCAATATTAGGAATGTGTTCCTAATGTTTTGTGTACACAGTGTATATATGCCGTTTTTTTTTACCTACCATTTTCATTTGCCCACCTTCCTGCTCCCTCTACTCTTCCTCCAGCTCCGGTTGGTGAGTCGGCCTGCTCTTCCCGCCCCGGCTGTGGGCATCGGAACGCTCCACCACCAGCAGAACGAGGCCATCCTCACTGCCACCTTCTCCTCTTGAGCCACTGGGCCCCAAGATGGCTGCTCCCGCAGGCCCCAGAATGGATGCACCCTCCCTGCGCCAGTAAAACCACATGACATCTCTTCTCTAGCCTGGACCTCCAGGCTGAATTTATCTCTGTTTCACATCTGTTTCACTCAACTTTCTATCAATTGTTGAGATGAAACAATAGTGAAATGTTGTGATTCAGTCCATGCTCTCTTTTCTTCCTGTATGTTCAAATGTTCTCAAAAACACAAGTGCTAAAGGCTGCTTCCTCAATGTGGGGTGGGGGGGTGGGGGCTTCAGGTACTGAGTGGAACAAGACTGTTTGGTGGTTAGGAAGGGCTGTTTCATTGAGCATTATGAAATGGAGTTGTAACTGTATAAAAACAACGTGATGTAGATGGTCTGAGATTGCATCGTAAAGCAAGTCAATATTGCCCTGAAAATGTTGTTAATTTTTATTGTAATATCTGATTTTTAATTCTTAATGTTTTTTAACTTTATGCTAAAGTTAATTTCACACAATATAATTGCATTCAATTTACTATACTGAAACAAAAATATAAATGCAACATGCAACAATTTCCAAGATGTGACTGAATTACAGTTCATATAAGGAAATCAGTCAATTTAAATAAATTCATTAGGCCCTAATCTATGGATTTCATATAACTGGGAATACAGATATGCATCTGTTGGTCACAAATGCCTTTAAAAAAAGGTAGGGGCATGGTTCAGAAAACTAGTCATTATCATGACCGCCATTTGCCTCATGCAGCGCGACATCTCCTTAACATAGAGTGGAATGTTGTCCCACTCCTCTTCAATGGCTGTGTGAAGTTGCTGGATATTGGCGGGAACTAGAACACACTGTTGTACACGTCGATCCAGAGCATCCCAAACATGCCCAATGGGTGACATGTCTGGTGAGTATGCAGGCCATGGAAGAACTGGGACATTTTCAGCTTCCAGGAATTGTGTAAAGATCCTTCCGACATGGGGCTGTGCATTATCATGCTGAAACATGAGGTGATGGCGGTGGATGAATGGCACGACAATGGGCCTCAGGATCTCGTCACGGTATCTCTTTGCACTCGAATTGCCGTCGATAAAATGCAATTGTGTTCGTTGTCCGTAGGTTATGCCTGCCCATACCATGACCCCACCGCCACCATGGGGCACTCTGTTCACATCAGTAAACCGCTCGTCCACAAGACGCCATACACGTGGTCTGCGGTTGTGAGGCAGGTTGGACGTATTGCCACATTTTCTAAAACGAAGTTGGAGGCGGTTTATGGTAGAGAAATGAACATTAAATTCTCTGGCAACAGCTCTGATGGACATTCCTGAAGTCAGCATGCTAATTGCGCGCTCCCTCAACTTGAGACATCTGTGGCGTTGTGTGACAAAACTGCACATTTTAGAGTGGCCTTTTATTGTCCCCAGCACAAGGTGCACCTGTGTAATGATCAGTGGCGATTTTAGCATGTAAATCTTGGTGGGGCAAACAAAATAAAAAATGGGGGATGCATGCCAGCAACGCCACAACACAACACTAAACAATACATTAATTGCACTATAACGGTGACAAACAGTGCCCACAAACTGTTAAGGCCTACATAAAGCTGTCCCAACACCTTACCCCTGCTACACCTGGGAATCAGTGGAGCCTTGTCTGGCAGCAAAATAGTTAATTCAGCCTCATTTACTGCCTTTAAAAAAAACATAGCTGATATAGCTGACTTGCTTAAACAAATGTGGTTTCTACTGACAATTGAGATGTACAAGCTATGGCATAAGGGGAGGACAAGCGGATAAGAGGCAATCCGTAATTTCGATTAAGACATTAATGAGCGAGCTAGGACGGACATAGTCAATATAACTATTTGTTCAGCACTTTTGAAATGTACAGCGACAGAATTCAGAACATGGGTTGCTCTTACAGTATTCTCCCTGTACACCAAGTCAGAACCGTAGGATAAATAAAGGGGACAATATTTGATGATTACATTTCTCTAAAACAGGTTATAGGCTACATGTGCACAACCAAGTCAGAACAGTAGGTGAAATTAAGAGGGGAAAATAGACCAAATTATTAGGGTGAGGCACATGGGCTACTAACAGCTTACTACACAACATACACTTAGTATTACTTTCTTAGCTACAGTATACATCTCTCCCTGGCATATTACATCATTTATGCATCAGCATACAAGACATGTTTGGACTCAGCTTGTTGTGCTGTGCTCAGTTGAACAGGAAGGAGGCGCGGCGGGCCTTTGTAGGCAAATTTTGTCATCAAACTTTGTCATCAAAGTCTGGCATTCTCTGGATTTATGGTGCTTTCAAGACAACTGGGAACTGAAAAAAACAAGGTTGAATCATGATGACGTCAGTGATCTTCAGGGCGTAGCTCTAGAAAGAGTTCCTGACTTACAATTCCGAGTTGGATGACCGTTCAAAACGAACATTACCAACCCCTACGCGCCGTATTTTCCGCTGGCTGCCCTACCACCACAGAAAGAACTGAGCTAGGCTGAAACACCTGCATTTTTGGAGCTGCCTTACTCAAGAAAGCAAAAAAGAGACCATGTTTGTATGCGGCTTTATTAGCTCAATGATTATTATAAGTTTTATACATTGTTTGCAAACTGATATGTGACACATATTAATGCCAAAATAACATGCAAAATGTGGGGCTGCCCTGAATGACGGGTCGCCACTGGTAATGATCATGCTGTTTAATCAGCTTCTTGATAAGCCACACATGTCAGGTGAATGGTTTATCTTGGCAAAGTAGAAATGCTCACTAACAGGGATGTGAATACATTTGTGCACAAAACTTGAGAGAAATAAGGTTTTTGTGCATATGGAAAATTTCTGGTATCTTTTATTTCAGCTCATGAAAGATGGGACCAACACTTTATATGTTGCGTTTATATTTTTGTTCAGTGTAGTTTCCTAGTAACTACCATGTTAATATAGCGTCACAACAAAAAGCTACTGTTGTGTAAAAACAGTTGCTCAATATGTTGTGGGAGATTTCAGTTGGTTATCAATCATAGTTAATACTATTATTCAGAATAGTCTGGTCATTCCACTGTTCTATTGTCAGTAATATAGTAGCATCGTTGAGCTTCTTTAGATTCGTAGGCTCGTACTATGAACCCAAATCAGCCCCTACTCACTTCGGAGAGGATTGATGTAAGCAATATGGTGGAAAATCTGTCTTACTCTAACAATATGGCAACAATTCCTCTTGTCTTATCTCCTTGCTTACACCCATCAAATCCTCTCAGACCTCCACAGGTGTAGGAGCTTGGCCCTAATTTGGAACTGCCCAGAGAACCCAGTCTGTCCTGGGAGACAGGATTCAATCTTACCCTGAATCCTACACAAGTGCGTAGGGCAGCGTTTCCCAAACTGTCCTCGGGACCCCAACGGGTACATGTTTTGGTTTTTGCCCTAACACTACTCAGCTGATTCAAATGATCAAATCTTGATGATTAATTGATTATTTGAATCAGCTGTGTAGTGCTAGGGCGAAAAACAAAACGTGCATTCTTTGGGGTCCGGAGGACTGAGTTTGGGAAACCCTGCTGTAGGGGCTAGAGGTTGTTTTTTGGACAGGGACAAGGTAGCCTTGTTCGACCATCCTGTTCTCGCAAGCTTACATTCTGTTTTGCTATTAAACTAAAGGAGAGTGCAGCAGTCAGGATGGTGGGTCGGACTAGGCCTAAAGCTTAAGGATGCTATATTAGGGTTGATTTGGGATCCTCAGTGCTCTGCTCAGAGATGAACCAGTCTGTCCAGGGAGACAGACCGGAGAGGCTCCACCATCTCATTAACACATTGTAATGACCAGAAGACCAATTGCACTTCCTTCAGAGTCTCCGACACTTTAATTAACAGATCTAATTGGTTTTCTATAGAATCATCTCAGTTAACAGCAATGGCGATGTCCCTTTGCTTTTGGGAATTAAAAAGTATCTGCCTCATAATGATATAGTAGAATAGAATGTGATAACATAGACCAGGCACATGCAGAAAACTGTTACACACCTTTTGGCTTGGCTGAGGCCATGTAGGTTGGATCAGGCCGCTAGGGCAACATAAGACAATGCCAGGGGATCAGAGTAATAACTTTTTTGTGAGAAGGACTTAACATTGTTCACTGTCACCATAGTTGTATTCATGGGAAAGCCCACTTGCATGTCAACTATAGCCATTACTTACTCCAATGACATGGGTCGTGGATTTGGTGCAATGCGAACGCCAATCGTTCACTCTTACGCTTTGGACACACCGACTGTGTCATTGCGCAAAATAGTATGCCGCGTCATCTAGATATGTGTGCAACAAAAGTTCAACATTCACCATCTGCTACCATTTCTGTCAACCCGTTTACGAATACAGTTTGACGCATACGTTTGATAAATCCAACACAGTATGAAAAATGTATGCACTCACTAATTGTAAGTCGCTCTGGATAAGAGCGTCTGCTAAATGACCAAAAAAAACGTACTGCCTCTGCAACGCAATTCTACAAGGCATATGCAGCGTACCATTGGAAATTAATGTACTTCTGGTGTAGCAAAACACAGTCGGTGTGTTCGAAGCGTAGCCTACCTATCCTCACGCACGCTGTCGGCTACTTAGACAATAGATGAGAGCAGCCTCCCACTCCTCCTTATGGTATAGCAACAAAAGGGGCAGGCAGCGTGACTCACTAGAATAGCGGTTCAGTTCAGACACACACACACACACACCAACCGATCGACTCTGCCAACAGTAATCATCTTTCGGTCAAGTAGAATAGCCTAAACAGAATATGAAGAGCTAGAATGATGTGTTCCAAACCAAAAGGAGACAGAATAACGAGGAAGCTCCCGTTCTATTACGTCAAATAGATTAGGTTAGTCTGATAACCTGTAGGTAGGCTGCTACGTGTGATTGGTGGCAGGGCTACTGTAGGAGACCTTTGCATTGGCGGCGCAGCGGTTGGATGGATGGGCTGAGCAATGCAAGGTAGAATTGGGAGACAATCAGGAAGAAGCTCTGTGATATCAGTCCGAC